CTACGGCAGGACGGTGAGAGGAAAACCCATTGGAACGCAAAGGGCATTTGTGGTGCATTGCTTCACAAAGCAGTTTATCGTGACAGGCCATCTGCAAGAGCTCAGCCATTGTTAGCGGCCAAACGATTTAGCACTCCGGTCAGCCGGTAACAGGGGAAGAATACAAGATGTGCTGCAAAATAAAAACAATGGGCAAAAATATCAACTGCCCACAAAATCCACCACTAAATAAACAGCGAAAAGTGTAACTACCTGCCCTGTCGTTGGATTCACATCTCCTTCTGCCTGGGTAACTTCAGCACTAATCTTTTAGCTTTTACACATGCAGTAAACTAAGAGGAGAGATGAAATTGGGTGTAAGTTTTTCATAACAGGGGTAGCGAGGTGCTGGCACAGGCTGCCCAGGGAGGCGGTGCTGCCCCATCCCTGCACACAGCCGAGGTCAGGGGATGGGCTGTGAGCACAGATGGAGCTGTGGGTGCCCTGTGCACTGCAGGCAGTGGGACCAGAGGGCTTTGAAGGGCTCCTTCTAATTCATACAACTCTGTGATTCGATGATTTCATGAATTAAAAAGTTTTAGTGTAAATTTCAGTTCTATCAGACTTTCCTATTGCGCAGTGCATTCCATCATTTGCTCCATTAGCACTGAATGGTTTTACTTCAGTAATTCTCACTTAATCCAGAGAAACACTGCTGTGTGTCATAAAACCTGATAGTCGCTGCAAGCATCTTTAACAAAGATAGCATTTACAGAGAATAATGCAGACATTTGATCCTATGGGCTTCTGCAGATAAAAACCTTCGTTCCTTCGGCAATAACTCAGAAAAGCGAGGCAGAAGGGGCACAAAGCCTGGATTTTTAAGACAAGCCCGCCCTCTACTGCTTAGGAGACGGAAATACTGGGGATGGTCACCCCGACCTGCCTGAAGTCTTCGCACAACAAAGACGAGCTTCCATAGATCCGAGCCCAGGAAAGATCTGCAAAATTCTGTGGCTCAGTAATTTGGTGCTGGAGAGTCAGGCAGCAATCAGCAGAACCCACGCACCATTTAACAGCCCCGTATGGCCAGGGCACAAAGCCCTGCAGAATGGAGGCTGACGGTGGAGTACCACGGCCTGAGTGAAGTCACATCCCCACTGAGTGCTGCTGTGCCAGGTACGTTAGAACTCCAGTACGAACTGCAGTCAAAAGCAGCCAGATGGTGTGCCACCACTGATATTGCCAATGCATTCTTCTCCATTCCTTTGGCCACAGAATGCGGGCCACAGTTTGCTTTCACATGGAGGGGCGTTCAGTATACCTGGAACCGTTTGCCCCAGGGGTGGAAACACAGCCCGACCATTCGCCATGGGTTGATCCAAACCACATTGGAAAAGGGCAGTGCTCCTGAGCACCTGCAGCACATTGATGACATCATTGTGTGGGGCGATACAGCAGAGGAAGTTTTTAAGAAAGGAGAGAAAATAATTCACGTTCTTCTGCAAGCTGGTTTTGCTATTAAATGAAACAAAGTGAAGGGACCTGCCCAGGAGATTCAGTTCCTAGGAGTAAAATGGCAAGATGGGCGTCAACACATCCCAGGAGATGTGATCAACAAAATCACTGCTGTGTCTCCACTCACTAGCAAGGGAGAGACACAATCTTTTCTGGGTGCAGTGGGCTTTTGGAGAATGTATGTTCCAAACTACAGCCTTATTGTAAGCCCCTTTTATCAGGTGATGCAGAAGAAGAATGATTCTACGTGGGGCCCTGAGCAGCAGCAGGCTTTTGGACAGATTAAACAGGAGATAGCCCAAGCTGTGGCCCTCGGACCAGTATGGATGGGACAGGATGAAAAGAACATCCTCTACACTGCTGCTGGAGAGAAAGGTCCCACTCAGAGTCTGAGGCAAAAAGCCTCAGGAGAGACCGAAGGCCAACCCCAGGGATTTTGAAGTAAAGCATATAGGTGGTCGAAAGAGTGCTACACTCCAACTGAGAAGGAGATCCTAGCCATGTATGAGGGGGTTCAGGCTGCTTCTGAACTAAATGGCACTGAAACGCAGCTCCTTCTGGCACCTCAACTACCAGAACTGCTGCTGAACATGTTCCTCAGCACAACATCCCAATGTTCCTGAACACCTCCAGGCACGGCGACTCCACCACTCCCTGGGCAGCCCGTTCCAGCACCTGACTGCTCTTTGGAAGAAGAAATGCTTCCTAGTATCAACCTGACCCTCCCCTGGCACAACTTGAGGCCGTTCCTACTGTGCTGTTGCTGTTACCTGGGAGCAGAGGCTGACTCCCCCCTCAGCACATCCTCCTTTCAGGCTGTCATAGAAGGCTATAAAGTCTCCCCTGAGCCCCTTTTCCACACTGACCCACCCCAGCTTCCTCAGCTGTTCCCCATCAGATGTGTGCTCCAGAGCCCTCACAGCTCCGTTCCGCTCTCTGCCCACATTCTAGTGCCTCACTGTCTGTCTATCTGGCAATGAGGGGCTTAACACCAAACCCTCTAGACTCAACATACTGCAACAGGCCAGCCCCATCTGCAAACAGACCAGGGGAATAAACACAAACCTCTCCTGGGCAGCTCTGCGCTGCCCCGACCACTGGGCCAGGAGAGACTGGGAGAGGATTTGAGCTGGAACTGCCACACACCCACTGGAAATTGTTCCTTCTCCTGAGCAGTGTTGTGGCAGCTGCCACACAGGCTGCACTGCAAAGTGCAGCTGAACTCCTGTGTCTTCAGCCAGATCTGCAGTGTATGGCTAGACACAGGAAAACCTGTGTGCTTTTTGGCTGCAGTGTGCATAGCTTCTCATGGAAACACTTAAAGGACTTCACCTTTTTGTGTCATCTTCAGTGGGTGCTGTCACTGAAGAGTGCTGTACTCTAAGTGTAGAGGCATACAAGCGAGCACCTGCAGTCCTGTGAGCCATGTCACTCTTCTGCATCATGTTTCTGTCCCAGGGAGATGCTTGATGTACAAAAACCAAGGGAACAAACAGCTTCTGTTGGTCCTTGAACATCTATGGCACCCATGAGAGAATGCAAATGTTCTGTGTTCCCAAAGCAAGGCTCTGATGGGAGAAGTAGAGCAAAGGGAGGGAGAATGTTTAAAATTAAGATAGATCAGTATTGGTAATTAAAGAAATGTCCTTTTACTGTCAGGTTTTCTGTTTTCCTATAATTACTGTGAAGATCTGCAAAGAGGCATAGACTTTTAGTATAACTTTTCTTCCTAGAGCCATTTTTCTGGTAGCTCAGTCATTACACTAGTGATATCTACACATCTGCCTGGCTAACTGGTGTGTAACTTGCTGGCATTACCTTCACTGCACTTAATCCCCCTTTCTTGTTTGTTTTCCTTTATTTAATGGAAGGCATACACCCATTTCTGAGAGAAAACTGTACTTTTGTTTTAATTTTCCAGGCTTTTATGTCATCCAATTTGTCCTTCAGATTTTTGAGACCTTAAATCAATTGCTTGTATGGCTGAAAAGAAACCCACAGGTTTCTTTGTCAGGGTGGGAGGGCAGAAGTAAATATACCCATGTTTAACATGTATACACATGCCTGCACATGCAGGATGGTTTATTATGGCCTTCAAAATTTCCTAGTGGGGACAGTTCTCTATTCCTCTCCCTTTGCTCACTGAACTCTCAAAGCTTTTGGCCTTGCTTACAATGCCTGTGCATACCTTCCACTAGAAGAAATCTCTGCAGCATTGCTTACTCAATTACCTAAAGATAAGGAGCTCCTCTCCCGCACAAAAAGGCTTCTGCATTCTGACGCGGGTTTGCAGTGTTCATTTACACACCTTCAACATCAGCCCACATTAGTACCCAGTCCCAGGAAATGCATCTATTCAGCTTTACAGTCACAAGAAATCAGTGGGACTACTCAGATACCTTGGCCATATGTTCTACTGTTACTGGTCAGTAAGCATAAGGTGGGCTAGAAACCAACTGTCAGATGAGATTCAGCAAGAGGACATCCAAGACCTTCCTGCCAGTGGAGAAAGAAGAGGCATATGCAGAAGGCAGAGCATTGTTCCACCTGCCTGGCCATCTGAAGCAGATGAGCATGGCCTTCAGCTGAGGGGAGTCCTACCCTGCAGGACTTGCTGAAATCCAGTTTCTCTTAGTGGCATTTTCCTGTGCTGTTTCCATGCTGTTCTGGTACTCCAAACAATCCCCAAGATCTGTGCAGTACCCTAAACACAGTATTGATGGGACCTTACACATATGGAGCGTGTTTTGCAGGATGACTCCTTGCTCCTTCAGGCTTCACTGGCATCAAAACAGAGCAGAAGCTGCTGTTTCAGACAACCAAAACAATCATGACCCAAGGCATGCAAAAGCATCGGATGTTTTACCCTCATTCCTGGCCTTGGATATCAGAAGTGCAAACCGTTACTGGTTTTAATTTTCACAACCTGACAAGGCTCAGACACAGCTGCCACCCTCCAGGTGTGACCCTGAGCTAAAGAACCTGCACTTTTTACCTCCAAACCCAACACTGGCCCTGCAACAGTCAGCTCTCATCCATACGCAGCAGCTGCTCCACCTGTATGCAGCACCATAAATACCCAAAGAAAATCAATTAACTGCCCTACTATTTGTTGTAAGTTTAAGGTCTCTGTAGGCAACCAGCATTACTTTTTCTTCCTTACATAATCAACCTCTCCTTTCCTTTAGGGAACAAAGCAATAGCAAATTAGACATTCTCCATAGGAAGCTCTCCTGGGCCCAGCATGTAGAAGAAAAAAAAAAAAAAGCCTTGCTTTGTGCTGTTAATGAGGTTTATTTATCACCTGTGAACACCTACAGCTTCCTCAACTACACTCTTAGAGCTCACAGCCCCCTTTTGCTAGAAAGGAGGAACTACACTCACCGAACTTCTTACAGATCCTACTGCGCTTTCCCAAAAGGAAGAAATGCAAAGGCTTCGGCAGGTAACGAGTGAAACAGGTCTCCTCGGCTTAAAGAAAAGCTTCACAGGCGTCTGAACCCATGACAACAGAAGAACTACGCGGCTCTCTCACTACCCTCCCCATCACCCAGCAGCAGCACCAGCTCTGCACACCGCTAACACAAAGTGCCGCACCGGGGGGCCGCCACAGCACCGCCTGCAGAGAGCGAGCAGCCCCAGCGCAGCCCTCTGGCGGAAGCACTACCTAACCGGAAGCGGCGCTCTGCTATTTCACTTCCGCTCAGCTCCGCCATTTCCGTCCCGCGCCCACTGACGTCACGCAGCCCCGCAGCCAATCGTCGCGAGGGAGTTCCAACTCAAATCCTCTCATGTGCGCTGCGCGCGCTCGGTGAGCGGCGCGGGGCGGGGCGGGGTGGGGCCGGGCCGGAGCGCTGCTACGGTGGGACCGGGATCCGGGGAGCGGGCCGCGACGGGACGGCCCGCCGCCTTGCGCCGCGATGATCGCCACTCCCCGCCGCGGTGAGATGCCGTTCCAGGCGGTGTTCCTCAGCTCCGTCCCGGCGGGCACGCTCACCCCGCTGAAGGCCCTGCGGTGCCGCGGCAACGCCGCGCTTCTCCCGCCCGGCCCGGTGCTGCAATCCACGCTGCTGGATGGCGGCGGAGGCGGGCGGGAGCAGCTGGAGATCGGCGAGATCAGCGAGATTCGTCCCGGGCCCGGACCGCCACCGCCGAAACGCCTCGCACGCGAGCAGCCGGCCCGGCAATCCCCGGCCGCGGCCTTCCTGAGGATGAAGATGAAGATGAAGATGAAGGGCGGTGGCAGCGACCGCATCCTGACGCCCGGCGGGCCCGGGCCGCGCCTTGCGGGCGGTGGGCAGCGCGGGGCAGCGGAGCCGCTCAAGAGAGGTTCGTAACGTGGGGCCGCACGGGGAGCGATAGCGGCGTTCTGCCGGCTGTGTGTGGGGGGGCGGGGGGGCTTAGAGCTGAAACAGGGCGGTTGGACGCGTTCCTTACCCAGAGGCGGTGCGGCCCGGCGCTGCTGCCCGGAGCTCTGGCCGTTCCTCTGTGTCTGAGTGGGCAGCCGGAGCTGCTGGCACTCGGCACGCGCAGGGGTGGAACTCGATGGTCTGCAAGGCCCCGCCCAACTCCTCCGTGCTGTGCATCTGCGATCTGTTTGAATCGCAGAATGACAGAATGGCCCGGGTTAGAAGGGACCTCAAGGATCACAAAGCTCCAACTCCCCACCAATGCAGAGCCACCAACCTGCACATTTCATAGCAGCCCAGGCTGCTCAGGGCCCCGTCCAACCTGGCCTTGAACACCTCCAGGGATGGACAGAGCATCCACAGCCTCTCTGGGCAGCTGTTCCAGCACCTCACCACTCTCACAGCACACAACTTCCCCCTGACATCCAACCTCCATCTGCCCTCCCTCAACTTCAAACCATTTCCCCTTGTCCTGCTGTTATCTCCCCTTTCCAAGAGTTGATTCCCCTCCTGTTTGTAGGCTGCATTTAGGTATGGAAAAGCTGCAATGAAAACTAGGCTAAGCACTGAGCTGTACCTTGTCTGTAGCGCAGACAGCTGCTGACTGATTGCTTTTGCTGGGAAGTTGTTGACTGTTGCTGTGGAGATAGTAGTGCCCAAGCTTCATGTTTAGTTATTAAATAGCCTTCCTAAATCTCCTTGCTGCAACTTAAAGCCCCTCCTCACTGTCACTGTCACTGTTGAACGTGATAAAAATGAGTAACCTCTTATTTATGCAAAAAGTGAAAATTCTGCAACTTTCCTTTCTAACCCCAGTTTTCCAAAATGCCTGTTTCTATCCTGCATCATCCTATTTGTTTCAGTAATGATTTCTGAGTCCTTTGTTCCTCTGTGGGGAACTGCTGGTTAGACCTTACTACTACAAAATGGATCTCGCTTGTATTCAGATCTTATGAAATGTGCATTTTGCTTCTCCTCCCTCCCACCCCATTGATTTTCTTCCCCAATTCCAAATGATTTTTTGAACTGTTGTTTCCAGAATTACCTTGCATTCGGATTCCTCAGAACCAGGCTGTGAAAATGCTGAACGTAGACCCCATTGTGTTGGAATCTCCTCAGAAGTTCTTCTTGCGTGTAAAGCAGAAATTGCAGCAGAAGCAGCAGCAAAAAGGTACTTGGTTCTGCCTTTAGAAACACTTCAAAAGCTTGTGGGACTTCAGGACTCTCTTCTTGCTTATAATTTTTGTGTGCTATTGGCAGAATATTGCAGGGTATCATTTGCCTTTGTAGTCTGTGCACAGAGGAAGGAGGTGTGAGAAACCTGCAAGTCTGCCTTTTCAGCCCTGGGGATGGAGTTAAGACTTGCAGGCTGCAGGGCAGGGTGCTGCCTGCTGGCACTGAAGTTTGACATCGTTTGTCTGTTGGATTTTTGTTTGCTTTTTCTTTCATGTGTGCACGTACTGAGCTCGTTCAGCCTCTGGTGTTGTGGTTAAGAACTCTTTATAAATTAGGTGTGACAGTTTGGTACTGGAATGGGAATTTGGTGGAAATATCCTAAACTTTTTCTTGGCTAAGTCTTTTCCCCACTCTGTTGCTTTTAATACGTAAAAAGAAAAAGCTTGGTTCCCTGATGAGAAAAGTGGAACAAAGACTCAGGGAGCTGCAAGCCGGTGAGCCTCACATCTGTGTCTGGGAAGATCACAGAGCAGATCCTTCTGAAAAAGATGTTCAGTGAGGGAGGAGGAGGTGATCTGAGACGGGCAGCACAGCTTCACCAAGGGCAGCGCGTGCCTGAGCCACTGCTGGCTCCTGTCCTGGAGCGCTGGCAGCGCTGGGCAGAGGAGGCAGCTGATGTGCCAGCCTGGAGTTGTGCGGGGCCTTGACGCGGTCCTGCAGCGCATCCTTATCTCTGAATTGCAGCGATGTGGATTTGAAGGTGGACTGTTTGGTGGGTTAGGAATTGGTCAGGAGGCTGCAGCCGTGAGGCTGTGGTCAGGGGCTCCGTGTGTGTGTGGAGGCGGCCGCAGGCGCTGTGCCCAGGGGTTGGCCTGCCTTGGACCAGAGTTCTTCATCAACGCAGGCGGTGGGATCGAGTGCACCCTCAGCAAGTTTGCTGATCACAACGAGCTGTATTTCTCACTGGTACCTCATCTAAATCCACCCTCTGTTATTTTAAAGCTTAGGATTCCCCATATTCATTTTTGTTCTGCACTGTTTCTTGAGAGCAGCTCTGTACGTACGTATGTTGTATCGTTCTTTTCCTAGAATGCAAACCAAGAGAATGATGCATGGCAAAGACAGTGTTGTTCAGCTTCAAAACAGCAGTTAAATTAGGGGAAAACTCAGAAACCAATGTCTGTAGCTCCCAGCATAGCAGCAGCATGGGTAGAAATCAAGGTCTTGAAGTTTGGAAAGAAGGATGTGTTTGAGATTCTGTTTTTTATGGGTAGCAGAACCTTTTCTCTATAGGAAGAAAGGTAAGTATGCTAATAGACGTGTACATCAGCCTGCTTTTGGGTGAGGGTGGGATGCTTATTTGTTGATCTGTGATGAAAATCTAGTACAAACAAATTCAACAAAGTGCTTGCTGTGAGGATTGGCAGTTGAATTAGTGCTTTCAGAATAGTAGTGCTAACCATGAGAACATACTTATATTAACATCACTAATGGCCTTTTTTTTTAACAGCAGGTCCACCACTTCCAAGCCCAAACAAGCAGAACGTTCCTCCTCTCCCAGCTGCAGAAAAGCCAGTAATCAAATCTGCTTGTGGTGAGCTGCTCCCCAGTGCTCAGACAGCGTGTGTGGCTGCTGCTAAGGACAATGAGGATAATTTCCTTGTGGAATCGATGGATGCTGATGATGAAATGTCTCTAAATACAGTAGCAAGTACTGTGGGTGTCCATTGTACCCCTTCTGACCCTGGGGATCAGCTAGAAGGAAGATGTGGAAACAGAGAAGCAAAACGTACTGAGCAGGAGAAAGGACGGCTGCAGCCGAGCAACCAGCGAGCTGAGCACAGAGCAGAAAAGATACTGGAGACTGCAGCTCAGAAACCCACACAGCACTTCTGCAGCGTTGTGCTCTCTCCTCTCCATGTGCCGAGGAAGCAGAAGCAGAAGGAAAACTGTAATGGCCCTTTGGATAAAGCTCGGGCAGGTCAGATCGCTGTCACAGCCAACAAGGAGGTGGGAGAACTTACTGCCTTGTTACACCCATAGGGTAAAACTTCCCGTGGGCTGCCTGTAGCTTGTGTCATGTTTTTCTGTCAGAAGCAATGAGTGCACAGCTGAAACTGCTGGGTGTGACTCTGGGATGGAGTCCACCTTCCATGCAGCAGCCCAGACAGGGCCGCACCCTGCGCTTGTCGCTGCAGCAGCAGTGATGTGCAGCACCGCTCCGTCTCTCGCTGGGCAGCGCTGGCACAGCAGCAAGGCTGCCCCAGAGCCAGCGGGGAGGGAGCAGTGCTGGGGTGCTGCTCTGTGCCACCAGAGTGATATCTCACACTGTGGAACATCGCAGCAGCAGTGGGAGCTGGGGAAGGAGGAGGGGAGCTCTCGTTATGGCAGTGTCCTCCAACAACTGCTACATCAGTTGAGGCTCTGTTTCCTAAGGTGTAGCCGAGCGTTGCTTGCTGATGAGAAGCAGAGAGTAATTTTCTCCTTTTGCTTCTGTACAGTCTTTGTGTTGTTTTTTGTTGTTGTTGTTTGTTTGTTTTTAATTAAATCAAGCTGTTCTTTAGCTCAGCCCACAAGGCTTCTTTCACCATTTGTTTTCCCCCTGTTTTTTTGAGGTGGGGGAGTGAGAGAGTGGCGTGGTGAAGCTGAGCAGAGTAAAACCTCCTCAGACTGTAGTGGTAAATATTTTCCTCTCAAAAGACTTCATTTTTTTTTTCCCAGATGAAGGTTTGGTTGGTTTGTGTTAAAGAAGGCTTTTTCCTTTAGTGTTCACAAGCTGCAGTCTGGGCTCGAAGAGCTCTCAGCTTGAAGGGATTTTCTGTGAGATGAATTAAATATGTTCATTGCCCCACTGCTGTGATGTCCCATTCAGCTCTTGGGTGTATAGGTAAAGCTGAGAGAAGGAGGGAAGATAATTCCTAGCTGTAGGCTCGGTGGCCCTTGAGCTAACTGAATCTCTGTGTATTGGATAGTGAGGTGGAGATCTTGGGTGTAGTGCCAGAATATCCAAACTGATGTTATGGGAGGCAAGAATTTTTCCTAGAAGTTCAGTTTGCAGATAGAATTTTCTCTTCAATAAGCACTTGGTGGTACTTAGAGCTTGCTGATTCGATCTCAAGGAAAGCAGTGTGTTGTGAAGCTGAACCTCAGCAGTGAGCCTAGGGACTCCCCAGGGGCTGTGTTTTTGTGCCCATGAGACATTTCAGCCCAAAGTGATCTCTTAAAATATGAAGGTTGTGCACAGTGAATGTCCAGCAGTTTTTAGTATTGGATGCAGACATTTTAATGTGCTGAATTTTAGTAAGAACAGAGCTAGTAATTTTATTTTCTCATGACAACTTGTTTTTGTGAGCGGTGCTCTGGGGAATGATGGTGTGTAAGAGGGATGGCATGCTGCTGGTGCTTTTTGAGGAGGGCTTTTTGGGTTTGCTAGGAGCCCTGGCCAATGAGTTTGACTTCCAAAAGCCAATGCTAAGTTTCTCAAGGTGCTTGTTTGAAATTCATGTATTCTGCACTGTGATCCAACTTGCTTGTGATTCTACATTTATGCATTTAACGGCTGGTTTCAGATTTTTTTGGTCTGGAAGATGATGCCTAAATAGATTCTCAGGCTGTACAGGAGTTGGTTTCTACTTTGCCAGCGCATTGGCAATGTTGCATGGCTTAGTCTGATACAAGAACCGTGGCAGATCTGATCTTTTTTTTCCCCACAGAAAAGAATCTGCCTTTCCAGGTGGCGCATTAAAGTGATGAGCGGTAACACGGCAGTGTGCGTCGAGGGAAAGCGAAGGTAAGGTCAACATTTCTGATTTAAATGCAGCGTGAGGCATGTTGGAGGCTTTTCAACATCTCAGCCCTAAGGCTGGTCGCATCCCTTGAGATGTGGAGATGAGCTCGTGGGCTCGCAGTACCTTGGTCGCTGTTACAATCAGTTCCTCGCATTTCTGCTGCCTGAAGGCCTGAAGAGAGCTCTGCTGTTTGTGGCACGTGAGGCAGCTCAGCCTTTGGGCCGTTTGCCCTTAGTGCTGCTCTGCAGCTCTGTTTGCTGCTACAAAAGTGTACTTAAAACATCCCATGGAGATTCTTTTTACCTTAATGCTCCCTTTTATTTCTCACTGAGAGGTTCCCTAACCACTTGTTAATCTCTAATTTTTGCATGGACTGGAGCTCCTTCTTCAGTTATTGTCTTTTAAATAGAAAGGTAAGAAACAAAATACTCCCACTTAAACTGGACTTGTATAATAGCATCTCTATAAACTTAAACTGGACTTGTATAATAGCACCTCTGTAACATCCACGAAGGTTTCACTGCAACATGGAGCTCAGTGGAGTCCTTTAGCCTACTTTGATTTTGCAGCCTCATGCCAGGCATGTTCTGTGATGAACACATGCAGTAGTGGCAAGTTTTATTCTGTCTATATTGTTTTATTTTATATTCTTTTATTTCCTGTCCAAATATTAAATAAGACGTCCAGAAAATCTTCCAAGCTAAGAAAGGAAAACCCAGCACTTCCTACCAGTGTCCGTGTGACTCTCACATGGGTAGTACTGTTACACTGGTGTGGGATAACAATTTCTTGTCTTAAATTCCTCCTCTTATGAAAATTGTGTTGGTTTTTTTTTTGTGCATGAGTGTTGTTAATATTATTTATCTTTTCTTAGAGATATGAAGGATATGTTATGGCATAGCAATGCAGTTGTAGAACGTGTAGCTTACAACCAAGTTAAAACATCATCTGGCAATATCTACCTGCTACAGGGACATATAGATTCTGTTTGGATGAGAAAAGAAGGTAAGAAGATCATTCTTAAGGAGAGCTGTAGAATTATGGCTGCTTTCTGCTAACTTGCACGTACTGCCAAAGTGAACGTTGGTGTTACTCTGCAGTCTGGGCTCAGGGGGCTTTGAATGGAGCTGGGAGCTTTGCCCAGTCCATCAGTGCTGGGTGGGCTTCTGTTCCTGGCTCCCAAAAACTAGAATGCCATCTTCACTTGCTGATGTCTGCGTCCTGTGGCCCTCAGTTCACTTCACCATGACACACACAGTTCTTTCAAATTGGCAAAGTCTGTCTCTCTGATGTTTAAGATGTCAGTGAGTTTCTGAGGTGCCTTGGATCAGACCGAGTGCTATTTCTGTGTTTCCTGATTAAAAATATTGCTCAGCTGTGCTTAATGCCACTTCTGTTTCACACAGGATTTTCCTATCAGTTCATCAAAAGATTTAACTTTGGGTTTTCCAAAAGGTGGAAGGAACACGTTGAGGAGTTACTCAAGGAATTAAGAAGGTAATTCCTTTGGCAATTGTTTGATTGTAATACTCTCACAAGTATTAGTTGATTTGTAAGGATCTTAGTGAAAGATGAAAGATTGTAGATGGGTTTATGGAGACTTTGATCCAGGCAAATTCTGGTTGCTTTGTTGGAAGAATCACATCACAAATCACAGAACGGCCCGGGTTGGAAGGGACCCCAAGGATCACGAAGCTCCAACCCCCTGCCACAGGCAGGGCCACCAACCTCCATGTTTCACAGCAGCCCAGGCTGCCCAGGGCCTCAGCCTCTCACTCTTCTTCATAAGACTGCTTTGGATTGTTTCTATTGAGATGGGATCAGCACAAGTGAAGGGCATTGCTGATTCAGTGCCTTGAGCCATGCCACTATTTAGCTACCCCGTGAGTAGAGCTGCACTGTGCTGTTGGGTTTTGCTGGGATGGGGAGAAGACTTGGAGTCTACGTAGGTCTTTTGTTAAAGGGTAGCTGCTTTGGGTCTGGTATGGGAACTGCTGAGCCACGGCCTGAACCTCTGATTGATCACCTGAGGTGAGCAATGAGTCAACCAGAGGAGCACAGGTGAAGGCAATTCAGCTGTGCTGCCTGGCTCCACCCCTCCTAGCCCTATTTAAGAGCTGGCTGCCAGTGGGGAAGGATCTCTTCTGGAGATCTGCTCTGCCTGAGTTTGTGAGTGAGCCCAGGATAGGTGTAAGCCTTCTATTCTCTTTTGTTGTCGTAGTCTGTTTTGCCTAACTCTCTTGTTTATTTGGTGATTATAACATCCTAATATTCTTTGATTATACAGGTCTTTATTATTTTTTTCTTAAACTCTAAATCATTAGGAAAGAAAACAAAAAAAGGATCAGTGAGGATAAAAATGATGAGAGTGACTCAGTGGTGGATACAGATGAGGTGGGAAGTTCAGAAGAGTCACCAAGAAACGCAAGGAAACGTGGAACGAGGAACACTACGTATGAAGTGCTACCAAGGAAAGATGAGCACACTTGTGAGTCTTGGTAATCTTTTTCTCTAGGGAAGAAATGGACAGCTTGTCATAGCTTGGGTTTGGTGGCTTTGTTGTTTTCATAGAGCCATAGAACGGCCTGGGTTGCACAGGAGCACAGCGCTCATCCAGCTCCAACCCCTGCTGTGTGCAGGTCGCCAACCAGCAGCCCAGGCTGCCCAGAGCCACATCCAGCCTGGCCTTGAATGCCTGCAGGGATGGGGCATCCACAGCCTCCTTGGGCAACCTGTGCCAGTGCCTCACCACCCTCTGCATGAAAAACTTCCTCCTCATATCCAACCCAAACCTCCCCTGTCTCACTTTAAAGCCATTCCCCCTTGTCCTATCTTTTTAAAGCTTTTTCCTGCCAAAGAATATCTTGTTTTGTGTTGTTAATTTCAGGCTGTATGGAAGATATAACAAACTAATTGTGAAAGTTGTTCTTTGTGTTTGCATGAGCTGCAATAACGAGGAGCAGTGGCTTGTTCATGTCCTGGTTTGCTGGTGTATGAAAAATAGACGTTGTTTGGAGTCTCTTCTGAGGAATAACCCTGGGAAGGAAGCAGGAGCCTGCTTGGGTCTGTAGAGGCTGACACCAGTGGTTCCACAACTGTTTTTTCAGGCAGCAGCAAACTTGACTGAAGTTTTTCCTGGTTGCTGTATTGCATGTCATGCTCTTATCAGTCATTCTGGGTTGTCTGTGGGATTCAGTCTCTCCAGGCTCTGTTCTTGGGACTCCCATGCAATGGTGGCCTGCACCCTTTTCTGGCTGGCTTGATTTTAACTCCTTCCTTGGATCTGTTCCTGCAGCAGGCTTGTTTTATGGTATCTAAATGGTTTATTGCCAGAGCTGAGGAATAGTGATGTGCTAACAAGCATTGGGCATGGTCTGAATGGTTGTGGAAGAATTACCTCTTTTGGCTTCCTTTCCAAAGGAAACAACTGTAAAGCCACAACCCCATGGCCAACACTTTTTCTTTGCCCCTTAATGCAAACTTCATTACAGACACTAATAGCTTCTGGTTTTTGACTTCTTTTCTATATCTTGTCATAGGCTCCAGCAGGGCTTGCAAACTGTTGGTACTGTCATCAGGTTGTGTTGCTCCTACTATGACAACTGTTTTATTTTCTCATTACTGTGAAGGTTTGCTCAGTGTGACAACTTTTATCACTGTAATTCTCTGTGACTTTCAAGTTCTTCATAGCCTTGTAAGCAAAGCTAAAGGTTCACAGTGATGTGGTTTATAATTCATGAAGATGATTATTTCAGTCTTGTTCAAGTATGCTTATTTCTGACCTGCATGCTCATAAAAGAGCATCATTACTTTGTGGTACATTTGTATTTTCCTTATCATCTGTGCAAGTTCTAGGGTAGTATCACAGAATCACAGGGCTGGGAGGGACCTCAAGGGTCACGAAGCTCCAACCCCCCTGTGCCATGCAGGGCCACCAACCTCCCCATTTCACAGCAGCCCAGGCTGCCCAGGGCCCCATCCAACCTGGCCTTCAACACCTCCAGGGATGGACGGGGCATCACAGCCTCTCTGGGCAGCTGTTCCAGCACCTCACCACTCTCACAGCACACAACTTCCCCTGACATCCAACCTCCATCTGCCCTCCCTCCACTTCAAACCATTTCCCCTTGTCCTGCTGCCATCTCCCCTTGCCAAGAGCTGACTCCCCTCCTGTCTGCAGGCTCCCTTTAGGCACTGCAGGCTGCACTGAGCTCACCCCGCAGCCTTCTTTTCTCCATGCTGAACAAGCCCAGCTCCCTCAGCCTGTCTTTGTAGTGGAGGTGCTGCAGCCTCTGATCATCTTTGTGGCTCCTCTGGACCCCCTGTTCTGGTCCCTAAGTATGGTTGGGTTGTGGCTGGTCTTGATCTTGATAGAACTGAGCAGTTCTATGATTCTAATCTAACAGGTTTAAGTACAAGGTCGCTCTTGTGCTTGTGAAGTGTGTGATAGTGAGTTTTCAGTGCGATGTTTGGGCAGAAGTGAAGCTGGTTTCTCTCGCAGATCAAACACCACAACACAGACCTGCTCTGGACGGCTCCTGTGGGATCTACACTCGGAGCGGCCGCCTGGTCAAACCACCGCTCAGCTTCTGGTGTGGGGAGCGTGAGTTTGTGGATCAGGAGCTGAATGTTACGATTCAGAAAGGTGGGACAGATTATCTGAGCATGGTGAGTGTCCTTTGCACGCTGTGAGCTGTGTGTTTCTGTCAAATGCAGTAACAAATACAGCGGCCACTTGGGCCTTGAACTGGTGGGCTGCTCTAATGAGTGCCTCACTAGGTAGAATGTTTTGGAACCATAATAAAAACATTTTAAAGCAGAAAAGATAAGTCTGAATTATCAAGTAATTGTTGCATGAGAAGCTGAGATAATATATGATTCCTTCTGGGAAAAATGGAACATTCTGGAAGGCCAGGAAGTTGTGCAGAGGCACTGCTTTGGGTTACAGAGGTTCCCAAGTAAAACACTTCCTGCAGTGTAACATCAGGTCCCTGCCAGCATGGCAGAGCTCACAAGGGACGTCAGGGCTGTAGGCTGGGTTTTGCATCATCTCTGCTGTTCTCAGCTTTCCCTTTTCTGTGTAGTTTCATATTCATTAGGAGCAGATGATTCCTCATTTCTTACACCTCGGTCTGTCCACGCGCTCCTCAGTGTTGATTGGGGTGGGTGATTCTCATTTATTACGGCACTTCAAGCAGCTCTGGCGGTGCTGTGGTGAGGGCATTGTGTGTGAAGGAAGGCAGCATTCTCTTCAGCAGCTGTTTTTTCCTGAAGATGAATTGCCCATACGCCCAGGGAGCGCACTAACTCTTGTCAGCAGCTCCAGCAGTGCGGCCGTGTCCGATTCACCAACAGGTCCTGGCTTTTGAGATTTTAACTGTTAGAGAATGGAGCTGGGTCTGGTGAGGTTGCCTCAGTCACAGGCACTCCTATGAGCACCTGTGTGCATCAGACAGCCCTGAGGAGCTTCTGGGCAGTGCAGGAGTCTTGACTGCCCATCCTGTAAACGTTTGGCTTTTTCAGAGCTGGCGTCGGTAGGCTGGGTATGTAAGCTGTAGCAGAAGTTTAGATTAAATTGTTTTGTTTTGAAGATGTATAGTACTGAAAAACCTAAAAGAAAGACCAGCTCGCTCTCCAAGGTGAAGGAAAGAAAGCTTTCAACAAAGACAGTGGAAGAAAAAACAAAAAGTCAAGATAAAGGTAAGGAAAAAAAAAAAAGTTTTTGCTTGTTCTATCCAAAGTTATTGAGTGGATTTGGTGGACGATGAGCCGGGTGCTGCAGTGGTGTGGTGATGTCTGGCTGATGCAAGCAATTTATTTACACCTTTGATTATCATTCACTTCTGTGAAGAGTTAGAGTAACACTGATGGCCAGTTTCACAGCTCAGAATTGTTTGTAAACTGCTGCTTTGGTTCAGCATGGGGACATGAACATTTCTTTCCAGAAATCAAAGCAGTTATGAGTTTTATGTACTTAAGTTTCTGCTCCTATGCTTTGGATCTCAGTATGCCTGATGTGTGCAACCTGAGGGAGCTGCCTCGGCCAACATTCCCTGTGGGAACAAAGAGTGCTGGAAGTACTGGAAGTCTCCCTTGCATGAAGGGCCTGCCTGCTGCTGGCTGTGCTCCCTCTGAGCTGAGGAGGAGCATTTGCTCAGTCTAAATCTGCTGCTCAGAACTGGCTTCGTGCTGTTCTGACTTGGGAGAGGGAGTATTTTTCAGCACTGCTCATCTATCAGAGTGCAGTAATGATTTACCTGACGTGTGTGATGTACTGACATCTCTTTCAGGGAAAGGTGAAGAGAAAAGAGTGAGTACTAAAAACAAAGCCACGTCCACTGGAAGCGGAGAGGCCAGGCGCTTTATTTCAGATGATGAAAGTGATCATGCAAGTGATATTAATAAAATTAAAACATGGCTTTCTAATAAGGCGACTCGCTTAAATGCTGAAGATGCAAACAAGCTTAACTATAATAGCAGAAACACAGGAACAAGAAAAGAAAAGACAGGAAAAGAATATGGAGAAGTGACTACAGATCAGAACATGTACTCCTTAAGGTCAGCACAAAAACCTTGTCAAGGTAAGCCTTTAACAGAGGAATCCTCAAGCAAAGATGAGGAAGAGGAATCCAGAGACTACATCCAGTTGACTGTCAGAAGGAAAAATAAACCTTTTTTGCCAAAAGAGGTGCAAAACTCTGAATCTTCGTCTGCCTGTGAAAGGCTGCAGGGCAGCACAAGCGAGGTGTCAAGTGAACGCCAGGCAGTCGCACACTGCGCTGCCGCCTCCCATTCCATGCAGCTGAGGCAAAGGATACCTGCCTTCATTGAGAGCTCTGACTCCTTCACAGAAGAAACCTCTTCTGGTGAGGAATATCACATAAGGGAAAAGAGATCAGAAGCGTCCAACAGAAAAGCAAACGGTGCTGTTAATCAAACTGCCAAGCCTTCAGCAGCGAAACCGAGTGAAGCCAAGGGGGACAAGGTGCACAAAACTCTTGATTTTTTTTCAAAGGCAGCTGATGACTGGTCTCCAAAGGAACTGCAGAAGCTGCACAGGCAAGTGGTTCCCTTGTCTTCAGAGGGCAAAGCCTCTCTCAGATAGCAGGAGGCATAATTTGGGTACTGGAATGTTTGGTGGTCTTCTGAATTTGGATTTCTCAGGGTTTTGGTTTTGAAGCAGCCCCACGTTATTTTATATTTCCTTCTGCTGTAATTCCCTCTTACGAAATACTTCTGGCTCACAAATTAAGAGAACAGTAGAATGAAGCAGACCAGGATTTCCTGCAGTAGCTGTGGTGTGTGAGCAGCCCTCGCCTCTTCCACGTAATGCAGAGTGAGAGGAGCACAGTTAGCAGCTGCAATTTGGTGGTTCAGTGCTCCTCCACTGCTTTCCAGATATGCCTGCTTTTTTGTGAGACAGGCATCTCTACGAACAAAGCTGAAAAACACATTAACATGTATTATAGGAGTAAAGGTGGTCATATTTCTCTTCCCTGATGGACTAAAACACTAACCATGTGGTGTTTGTGTATTTAGATCTGGTGGAGGGGAGACTAACACGAGGATATTCAATTAGCACATTGGACAATTACTTAATTAGCTACTGGGCAGTGTTTAATATACACACAGTGTTGGAAAATAGCTGGGTTTGGATGCATTTTTCACTTTGTAAGGATGATGTGCACCTCGTACCAGGCGTTCACATAACAGCTGCATGTTACAGTGCCTCTGCTGCACGCCAGCTCTCCCCACGCAGTGCACCTGGGCACGCTGTTATTCTCAGGTGCGTGGCAGTGCAGCTCAGATTCTCCTGTATGAGGAAGGCTGTGCTTCTGTTCTCTTGGCAGGGCAGTGGCTTCATTTCCCAAGCACAAGAATGGTTTCTGGGTGGAGGTGGCGATGGCTGTCGGGTCTCGTTCTGCTGAGGATTGCCAGCACAAGTACACAGAAGAACAGGCAAAAACTTCCCAGAGACCCACAAAGAAAACCGGGTCAGGAAAGCCAGGACAGAAAGGTACTGAGCGCTTGGCTCTGACTATAAGTTGGTCTTTGCATTTGGAATTTGTTATTTATTGTGTAATGCGGGATGCAGCCATAAGCACACACACGCCTGATAAGTAAACAATAAGCAGTTCTTTGTTTTATTGTGCTTGGATTGGAGTCCTGTAGTAAAGGAGGTTATCTTCTACACTGCAAAGGTTTGTTGCAGAGCTTGAGGGATGTTGTAGCAGAAATGCTGTCACAGCCTGAAGCAGTGATGGAGCACCTGGTGGGAAGGCAGAGCCAACCAGGGGAGCTCAGGTGCCTGCAATGGAAGGTGCCTGAGTGACGGAAGGGCTGGAGCCAGGATCCTCCCCTTCCCAGACCTCACTGAAGGTTGGCAGTGCAGGTGAGGGTGTCTCTTGCTGGAGATCCCTGCATACCCGAGGTCTCCCAAAGATGAGCAGCTCTCTTCCTTCAGTTCTGCATCTATGGCTGCTGCCTTTGGGCTTGCTCTCATTTGCTGTATCCAAAGGCTGCTATTATCATCCCATTGCATTACAGATGTCATAAGAGACTGAAGCAGAAAGGAGAAGAAAAAGGGCAATTTAGAGTTTTTTCCAGGCAGGCTTAACCTGTGTTCCTCGCCTAGGAGGAGGCAGCTGTTTATAAGGCTCTGCAGTAACTTTCTGATTAAGATGTAGGAAGGATTTATTTTTGGAAGTGTAAATTGTATGGAAATCCAGAGGACCACAAAGAAGCTGTGAGAAGTTCCCATGAGAGAAAGAACCTTATTGCTAGCACTGATCGATTCTATGATTCCATTCTGTTCTACAACTCCATTCCATGATTCTCTGATTGCATCCAGCTTATTTAAGAGTATGCTTTGTAATTAATGTCTTAGAAAAAGTAATGCTTGGATTCATGCAGATAAGACAGAGCCAGTTGCAATAACTGCCAAAGTGGGAACCTTCAAAAGAAAGCAGCAGATGAGAGATTTCCTGGACAATTTGCCAAAGGATGACCATGATGATGTTTTCACTGCTACACCCTTTCAAAACAGAAGAGTGAGGGTAAGTAAATCTGGGAAAGCTGTACATATCCATGTGCTTCTCTGACTGGTAGTTGAAGGGTGTGCTACGAGGCAGCTGGTCAGTGCCAGTTGTGGTTTGGGGAGGTGAGGGTTACCCACCTGATTCATTTTTGCAGTGCTTTGCTTGCTGAGAGGGAGAACGTGGAGCATGGCTTCCTGCTGTTGTCTGTCCAAACTGGCTCCACTCAGTGATGCACGAGCCTTGATCTGGTACTCATCCAAAAGCAGAGCAACACGTGGCTCACTGAAATGCCAGCATTTAGGCACTGGTAGCTCCCTTGCTTTCTATGGACTGCGCTGTGCAATGGAGCAATCCCTGTGACAGATCTGTGCAGGCTGGCCATGAGAATCCATGCATCCACGTCCAAGACTTCCAAGATGATGGAAGTTCTCCTGTGTTTCTGGTGATGTGCTGCTCCTCTCTGAACCTTTTCAGCTCTCCTCTCTCCCTTTGAAATGGAAGGACCGCAAGTTCCCTGAGAATCCTGTAATCTTCTTCCTGAGAAGTAATGGTCAACTCTGAGCCTGGAATTTTAATCAGACTTTTTTCTTTTAATACGTGGTAGTAACCAAAAAAGGGGCAGCAAAATGTTGGGTATCTGCAGGAGCGTTGAAGTGAGACCACGCTGTCGGCTGGTGGCCCTGCGGCGTCCTCACGTACCTGCATTCAGCATTGCTGTGTCCTGCTGCTGTCTGCATCTCAGGAGGGGTGTGTAGTGGAGTCAGGAAAAGCATCTGCAGTGAGCAGAGGGACGGGGAGAGAACAAAGCCTGGGCCTGTCAGTGTGGGGAGCAGGGGTACAGCTGGGTGCAGCTGCTGGCTGCGATTGCTGTGAGGCGGAGTGGTGAGAGGCCTCTTAAGCAGGCCTGGAAAAAGGGCAGATCTTTGAGTGCTCTGTTCTGTCTTTGTAGTTGCCAACGTTCCTGGGAAGCCATGACGAGGATGATGATGACTTTGCACTTACAAACAACCCCATCACACCTTCCTCAGCTGTCTTCCCTCTGGCCAAAACCCCTCAGTGTGAGCACATCAGCCCTGGTATGCTGGGACCTATCAACAGGTGGGAACTGCATGAATGCTGCTGTTCCTTTGCTAATGCTTTCCTTTCTCATTTCTTCTGAGAAAGACCACTCATAAGGGATTAACCTCCAGTGTGCAGAATAAAGGCTGCAGGCCTTAAGGTATTTAGAGAGAACTTCCATTTGACAGCTGTGCAGTTTGAGCTACTCAAGTAAGCGGGCAACTAAAAACACTGGCAATAAAGCTTCAGGCTTTATTGGAATAAACTTTAGTGAGAAGTGGCATTTTCATATAATGGTTAATGGACATCCTGGGAAGATGATAAAGCTTTTTGTCTGATATTTGCATTATGAGTTCTATGCATGTGATTAAATTAAACTCCTCTGTGTTGAGTCATACTCCAGGGACTGTTGCTATATTTAATTGGCCAACAACTGTTTTAAATAGCCCTGCTAATCTTCTTTCTGGACTAGAACTGTGTGTGCTGCCTGTAGCTGCACGTAGCTGATGCCCTGAGCAGAGCACACCACTGCCACTGACCTGTTTGTTGATGCTTGCAGGAAGGACTGCGACAGACATGTGTTCAGGATGCAGAAAACTCAGGGCTGCAGGAGCAGCTGGGACAAAGTGAAGAAGCAGCAGGTAATGCTGGCTTCCTGCCTGTGGGTTCCACCTTGTAACAGTGCAGGTTCTGCTAAGCAGGAGGATCCCTGGCTCGCAGTGTGGGCACAGAAGGAGCACAGGACCCGTCTCCATTGACACCAAACTTCTGGGTTTTGTACCTATGTACTTCAGAGAAGAGTTACTTCTATTATGATTTATTGTCTTGATCAGACAGGCTGTCTTTTTCAGGGTCTGTGATTGCTTTTGGGTTCTGAGACCTTTCTGATGCTTTAAATTCCTGCTATCTTTTTCCTGTACAATGGGGGAAGAAGTGGGACTCCCCACCTTGCACCCTGAATTTGTGCTCCTTTCCTGTCCTTGCCTTGGTAGTTCTGCCTCTTCCATGAACAGCTGTGATCCCAGAAGCAGAACAGTGCCACTGGTTTAGCCAGAGGTTTTGGTAGATGAGCACTTTAAATCTGGTGTGAAAATGTGGCATAGCAGTAGGGCAGCTGCACTCTAATGGAACGCTGTGCCTTTCCTTCCCCCCTCCCAAATGTTTCCCCTTTCCTATGCTGCTGTCACTGCTGAGTGCAGACCTTTCCTTTTTGGCAGGCTGGCCCTTTGCATGGCACACCAGCTTCGAGCAGAACCAAGTTCACCTTTGATAAAAGTAAGTGTTTTGTTTCTCTTTCACATCAGCTCTACTCACCTTCACGCTGCTGCTGCTGTGTGGGTGTTCACAGCTGCACTCAATCATTTTCCAGCATCCTGTTTCTCACAGGACCTTGAGCTGCCTTGCCAGCTCAGACACACACACTGATGCTCTCCTCCCTGTTTTTCATGTTGCAGAAGCACAGCAGAGCCCTGCTGTAGGGAAGCTCTTTGTGGCTGAGGCAGCAGATACATCAGATGAAGAACAGGAAGATTCCTATTTTTCTGTTTGAACTTCTGGAGGTTTTATTTAGTATTTATGAACTTGTATAAAAAAGCCAAAGGAGGAGCTTCAGCCACCTCTCTGATGTGCTCCTGTGTTCCTGCTTGAAGCTCGTTTTGGCTGACCTGGCCTGCAGTGGAGCTGTGGTTGCAGCCTGTTGTCAGCTGGGTGCTGCTCAGCACTGAGGATGGCTTCTCCTGTGTGCAAAGTGGGAATTCCTTGCCCAGGTTCCCCCTTCCTTTGCCGTGTTTCTCCTGCTGAAGGCAGAGTTGTGCTCCCATACACAGGTTTGCTCTAAGATGAAATCTAGGAATGTTGCTGTACAGTATGTTTTTAATAACACAGTTTGTAATGAATTGAAAGTGCTTTATACTTTGAAATTTTTTTAAATGTGAATGTAGCAGCAGTTTTATGAGCTTTAAAGAAGCAGTGGTCTGAAATTGCTAGGGCCTGTTATATGTAAGCACTTGTTTTAAAATACTGCTTCCTGTTCCCTGTCAGCAGTGCTCAGTACTTTTAGTGTAGTACAGAAGAATAAAGCTTTGAGCATCTCTTTTCTCTGCATGGGAGGTAACAGGAAAAAGTAATTTGTAGTTCTTCAGCTCAGGAACTCACGCTGCAGGCTGTCACGCTCTGGGCCCCATGCCTGAGCTGCTGGGTGCCCCTTTCTGCCTGCTCCTTACTGGGAGAACCTTCATGTGCTCTGAAATAAATTTGCAGGGCTTACATTTGAGCTGAGCTGCTTTGAAAGCGGCTGCTGAGCTCTGCTGGGCTCTCCAGCTTTATCTTTCCTGGAAAGAGCAGAGATGCACGCATCTGCATGATCATCTGCATGCGTGGAGATGGGCACAGCTGTACCTTCTGGGGGGGAGCAGCTTCTGCTGTCCCTCTGCCACTGCTGCAGTTGGTGACAATGGGCACAGAACCATCCCAGCAGCACCACGTATGTCTGATGTGAAATCACACACTGTGAAGGTAAGGTGGAGGGAAGCCTGTGAGTAATTCCTGTGCAGATAAGACAGCTTTTCTTGAATTTCTGCCATAATTATTCATATGGCCTTAATTGAGTGGTGAGTAAGGGCCTCTGCTTGCCCTATTCCTTCCTACTGCAGGACTTCAGTCAGCTGGGCAGGGCAGGGAGCAGCTTGGGGGCATTCCTTATGGGGAGAGGGGGGAAATAACACCATGGAGACCCGAGGAGCAATCCTGCACAGAGCAGTGGGGTGGGAGCGAAGGAGGGCAGCTCTCTCACCCTTTTCAGCTCACTGGCACCACTCCACCTTGCAGCGTGTGAGCGCAGCTCCACTTCCCTGCCTCCAAAGGAAAAATTGCTGGTGAAAAGGAAAAGAAGTTAAAGGTGAGCCTTCTTCCAGTTGATGTGGCTCCTGTTGAGTCCTCTGTGCCTCGAGGGCAGGCTGTCCCTGCGCGGGGCTGCAGCCAGCTGCTGTGTGACAGCACACACTGCTACAGCAAGGCGCTTCTGCTGAGGCCCCAGCATTGCCCTGAGCTGTGGGTGTCCATCCCTGGAGGTGCCATGGCTGGGGATGTGGGCTGTGGGGCCCTCCCCACCCGGCTGTGTAGTGGCCCAATGAAGGTGGGTGCTTACTGCCCTGCTTCCATCCATCCCAGCTGTAGCCCCGAGCCACACCTCGAGTGCTGTGTCCAGTTTTGGGCCCCTCACTGCAAGAAAGATATTGAGGCCCTGGAACGTGTTCAAAGGAGGGCAACAAAGCTGGTGAGGGGTCTGGAACACAGGGCTGATGAGGAGAGGCTGAAGGAGCTGGGAATGTTCAGCCTGGAGAAGAGGAGGCTCAGGGGAGACCTCATTGCTCTCTATGACTTCCTGAAGGGAGGCTGTAGTGAGCTGGGGGTCGGCCTCTTCTCTCGTGTCATCAGTGATAGGAGCAGGGGGAATGGCTTCAAGCTACGGCAGGGGAGATTCAGGCTGGACATGAGGAAGAATTACTTTTCAGAAAGGGTGGTCAGGCACTGGAATGGATGCCCAGGGAGGTGGTGGAGTCACGGACTCTGGGGGTGTTCAAGGAAAGACTGGATGTTGTGTTGAGGGATGTGGTTTAGTGGGAGCTACTGGGAATAGGTGAACGGTTGGACTGGATGAGCTTTTAGGGCTTTTCCAACCTTGGTGATTCTATGATTCTATGACTGCTCTGTGATCTGTGCAAAGCAGACACCAGCAGCAGGGGGGCAGTGCTGAGATGGTGGCTCATCTTTAGGCAGTGTGGCACCATCACTCATCCGTCACAGCAAGGAAAGTAACTACTCTCCTTCCCTGTTAGACACAGTCTCTGTGCCCCAAACCCCAGTGTTTCTCTGAGGATTTATTTACATATTTTACAGCGACTGTAAACTCCGTAAAGTGCAATCAAAAGAGCAGCCCCGTGTCCCTCTCCTCAGCTCCTGGGGGCGGTGTTGCTCTTCCCCTTGGCACAGAGGCTCTCGGGCAGCATCTGTGTGTCGAAGCCGTAGTGCAGGTAGCGGTGCGTCTCCTCTGCACAATGCGGGCTCACCTGGGCACCAGCAGCGATGTCTGATGGGGAGCTGCAAGAGAGCACAGGGACACTGAGCCCGGGGTGGGGGGTGGGTGTGAGGACACAGCAGGGGTGGCCTGAGCTGCGTGGGGAGCAGAGCGGAGTGAGCCCAGCTCAGGAGGGCTGCTGGGAACCAGGGAGTGCTGTGAAAGGAAAGGGAAGGGCGCAGCGGCGAGAGAGGTGGAAGCAGGGATCGTTGACAGCCACAGCATGAAGAGATGGAGATCCATGAGGAACAGCACAGAGCTGGGGATGGGAACTGGAGGGAGCTCTGGGAGTGAATTCAGCACAGCCAGCACCCTGAGTGTGAGACAGTGAGAAAGTGAGGCCTCCAGAGCCCAGGGTGCTGCCCTGCTGTTACCTGTTGACCATCGTCCTCACAGAGCTGAAGTGGTGGCACATGTTGAGAGCAGCCAGGTAGCTGATGTTGGGAATGCTCAGGTAGAAGTTGAGCATTTCCTGCTTGTGCCCCTCCACCTCTGTAGGCACGCAGATGGCAGCGTTCTTCCTCTGCTCCAGCAGGGCCAGCTCCTTCAGCAGCACTGCCGTCTCCTCTTGGCAAGAGCTGAACAGAACCCGGATGCCGGCCTGGAGCAGCGCAGCGAGCGTGACATCGTAGTGCTGCGTCCTCTGGAAAAACCTCGAGGTTTCCCCTGCAGGGGGCGATACAGAAATCTCAGTGCAATTTAAGTGCTACGTTACTGTGAAGCAGTCATTTGTAAGGGCAAGCAGCCCAAGGACCCCCTGCTCTGAGATCTCACAAAAAACAAGAAGATGGAAAGCTTCTAAAAGAATGGGGGAGCTGTGGGACAGGACTGACTGGGTTATGTGAGAGGGAGAGGGAGGAAATAACAGCAAAAATGTAAATTGTAGGGAGAGATTCTTAGGAGAGGAGGAAGGCATCCATGGTAAGGAGTGGGCAAGAGAACAGCACGGAGGGCTGAAGAGGTTTCACAAAGGAGAATCACGGAGGGCTGAATAGGGCTACAAAGGAGAATCATAGGATCGTGTAAAGAAAGCACTTGGTTGTGTCCAGTAATAAATGAGCAGCACTCCAGAAGCAGTGTAATGAGAAGAGATGGACAAAGTTGATGAAAATGCATCACTAATGAGTAGTTAAGTATCTCTGTGGATCTAGGTCAGCCCGCGACCTAATGCACGTACCACTCCTACAGAGGCTACAGGAGAGCTTTCAGTCCAATTTCAGTTCCACAGTTACACACACGGCCAGCAGGGCCAGGACCTGCGTGGAGCAGAGATCAGCGCCTCCCCCACCGCTGCCCCCAAACACCCACCTGGTTTGGTCCTGTCCTTCTCCACGATCACACACACTCTCTCAAACATGCTCCGCAGGCGCTGGATGCGCTGGGTGACCTTACTCCTGTTCACAGAGCTCAGCAGCTCCGACTGCAACTTCCTTTCCACTGCCATGCGGTTGCTGACAACGTAATCGCTGCTGCCCAGCGAGCAGACCTGCACCTTCACCCCATGGACGGCCTTCAGCGAGGAGATGACGTCTGTGCCAGAGGAGATCTCACGGCTGTCCACCAGAACGCACAGCGCTGTGCCTCTGTCGGGCAGAGCTGCAGACACCTTCGTGGGGCCCGAAGCGTTCCCAGCAGTGTGCTGCACTGAGCTCCCCAGCTGTAAGTGCTGCAAACCAACAGTGCGTCTGAGACATGACGGGAGTTAAGCGCAAAGAATGAAGGCCAGCTGAAAGTGCACTTCCCAAAAGTGATACTTAACGTGCCCTGTATTCCACAGAGTTTGGAAAAGTCCCATTCCTAAAAGCTTTTTAAAAGGTCTTACTGACATTGCAACTCAGGAACAATTTCAGATCAATACTTCAATCCCCTGCAAAAATCTCCTGTATTACTTGAGCATCCAATTAGTGAGCAGCGTGTGTGACAAAGTGTGCAGTGTTCACTGCCACTGTTAAGTTCAACACAAGCTGAATGATGTAAGAGACAGAGGTGTAGCAGAAAAGCTTAAGGGGAGGGAATACAGCTCAGGCTGTTTTCATTGAGGAACTCTAGAATGGCCTGGGTTGCACAGGAGCACAGTGCTCATCCAGCTCCAACCCCTGCTGTGTGCAGGTCGCCAACCAGCAGCCCAGGCTGCCCAGAGCCACATCCAGCCTGGCCTTGAATGCCTGCAGGGATGGGGCATCCACAGCCTCCTTGGGCAACCTGTGCCAGTGCCTCACCACCCTCTGGCTGAAAAACTTCCTCCTCATATCCAACCCAAACCTCCCTGTCTCACTTTAAAACCATTCCCCTTGTCCCATCACCACCCACCCTCACACACAGCCGTTCCCCCTCCTGTGAAGAAGTGAATGAGTATTTTAAAACTGCAATACCAAATTGTTAATTGTGTCCCTCTTCTACTGGAAATAGATCTATATTCCCTCACAGTTGTCAGACTCAAGAGCAACTGATTCCACACTTTCTTAGTACTCTATTGGGTGCTCAGACACCCTGCATGCAGAAAAGCTTCCTGTGGCAGCAGCAGGGCCGGGATCACAGAGCAGAGCCGGCAGCACACCTCTTCTCCTCCCTCACCAGAAGCACTCAGCCCCATGCTGTGCTGCCAGCCCTGACAGAACAGCCTCCAGGGCAGGCTGCTCCTGCTGCACACCGCGAGGCACAGAGAGGTCGCTGCCAGCCCCTGCACCCACCTCAGCAGGAGCCGGGAGAGCCTCTTTCCCTGAGGCAGAGCGAGGCCCTGGGTGGAAGTCCAGCATTTCAGACACGGCCGCCTTGCAGCCCAGCAGCCCCCCACTCTCTGCAGACTGACGAGCGCTGATGTCCCCAGCTGTTTTTTTATGTGGT